CACAGAAGCCAAAGCCAAAACTGGCACCATTACTGCGATCCCGAATAATCCTGCATGTTTTGACTGCACCAACAGATCCAAATAGATTTGCCAGATCATTGTCTGTCAGATGCCTTGGAATATAATTGATGATCAAATTACGGTCGTGATAGACGACCATTATTGACCGAAGACAGATGCTTGTGCGACCAGATTAGTGACATATACCGCTATGTTAGAATAGACGATAGGAGCCCCGTTTCACAAGCACGTCATAAAAATCACAGAGAAGCAGAAACGTGGCCGCAACCGAATTCCCGCGTTTTTAGTTGCAGCGGCGAAAGCCCTTCAGTGAATGATACAAACAATGGATCCAAAATCTAGCTTTAAGAAATGCTTCGGTCATGTTTCCTTAAAATTAGGTTTACAGGTTGTATCCCCTGTATTTTTATGCACAACGCTTGCACCCTGTCCAAATTCCGATCAGCATTCGATTTCTGTAGTAGTTTGCATCTCCCTCTTAAAGTTTTCTGACGCTTGTCCGCAAAAACTACTCCTATTAGTCAATCGTCTCGGGGGGGTTCCTCCCTCGAGTTACCCCAGCGAAGTGAACAGGGTTCCAAGTGTTACTGGTACATGGCTCTCCAGCCAAATAGGAGTTTGGCTGCCAATAATAGGATTTTGATCCGTTTTAAGCAACAGAGCGAGAATGACCCATGTGAAAGTCCCCAAAAACTCAAGACTGAAACTCTGGATTCAGATTTGCACCAACAAAAACGTTCCAAAAATAAGTCACTGCAGGCTTGTTCGTGAAGCACCAGTGTCCTATGCTGAAACCGCGCTGTCCGCGGGGCGGAATATACTGGCTGCCTAACACACGCGAAATCGATCGCTTGTATTCACCGCTAGCCTGGGGTCGACTAGTGTCGACACTGTGGTGTATAAGGTGCCTGAACACACCCTGCGGCCACTGAAAATGATACCTTCCAGCCTCAGGGCTTTAAGGTGTTCCGCGCTTGGATGTGAACAACCCAAATTCACCGTCACAGCCCACACAAGTATGGGTTGTCATTCAGAACACTAGGTAGTTAGGGGGACTTTTTTATTTTTCCGTCCTGGTGAGCACGCGTTTGATCGCATCGAGCCCCAGGCAACTTAGTTGCAACCAGTGAAGTTTGACACCGAGTTCTGGTTAAGACATCAGCAGCCGCCGGCAATTTATCGGGTCAGGTCAATAACATAAAAAATTAATGACGACTGCCGATGCACCCTTGGCGAGCTCAAGACGACGTAGTCTTTCATTCTGTGGTATAAAAGCTGCATTTTATTGGGTGGTCCCAAGGGAGTTGGACACCTCCATTAGAAGAAACCAGTGTAAGAAATCCCTTCCCATTAGCACCAGCCTTAATTCTGCGTACACCATCATCATTCGTGCAAATCTTACTTCCAACTCAGTCATGCATATCTGGATGAAGACGAGAAACCGCCGAGCTTCTTTCTACGGTAATCTCCCACACAGAATGTAACAAACATTTTTGTAGGGTCCTGGAGACGTTGGGTGTGTGGGCTTCGAGTCTGCTATGGCAAGATGGTAATAGCCATTTCATAGTCAAAAACATCATCATCGCTGGCATTCTTAGTTGCGTACAACCCCGGTGTGGTGAGCAGTGTTCACATACCTGAAAGCATTATGTCAAGTTTTGATGAAACTTTGCAGTCCTTCCCTCACTCAGCTCTCTTCCTGCTCCGCTGTCCCACTTTCCCTAGTTCTGATCAAAGAAAAGGAAATGTGAACTTCCACTGAGCACTCCGAAATGCCTAGGTTACATTACCGGTAAACATTGCCGTCAACCCAACACCTCGAATAGTGACGCAGATTTCAGAAGGCTCGCGCCGCTGAGTGAAATAGAATTTAAGCCGTTTCCGAATTGATGATTAGCTACCACAGCGTCTTCAAACCAATTGTACATTAATTGCGCAAACCCTGCAGCCAGCTGGTGACCAAGGGATGTCGACTGGACCGCATTCAAAGAACTGAGGAGTGTGTTGCAATGTGGACGTCTAATCATTCACTTCAACCCCAGCCCATTGTTCTGACAACTAGCTCACCAAACCTTGGAGATTTGCGGTTAAATCTTACTCGTTTTCTGATGGTACGCAAAAGACGATTACTCACACCACAAGGTTGCTATCTTCACAATAAGGGCATCATGGTGTTGAAGAAAATGCACAGGGAATTTTCATGGATGAGCCTTCGCTCACGACCATGTTTGTCGGCCTGATATGGATGAGTAAATCGGGGCTCTTTCTGACGCGCAGCAGTCTGGAGGTTACCCAAAGGCAGCTGCCGCATACCTGGCCACTGGCTGAGAAAACATGGTCATGCGTCCACGCCGATTTTGCCATATCAAGTGACGCATCATGCTTCCCCATCGTTCTTAACGCGTTCAGTAAATGTCCTGCGGTTTGGTGACTTTTCAAACAACGTCGACGTCAACTAATACCAAACTGCAGCGTTTCCTTTCCACATTTGTTGCCTTGGAAAACATTGTATTCGACAATTTTGTTAATTTTGTATCCAATCAGTATGGTGAGTCCGTCTGTAGACCCGACATCACACGTGTTACTTACCCATGATCACAGCCTCAACCAAACCAAACGGTTCATATACGCGGGTTAACAAAGGCGAAAGTCAGAAGTGTTTCATACATTCATACCGAATTAGAGAGCAACTCTCAATCAAGAATCTCCCAGTGAACGCTATCCAGCGTAAGTTATTGTCGAGACGGTTAAGGCTTACCCATGACACTGCCTGCCAACAGGTACGAGTTTTCAATCACCGCCTGGAAGAAAATCAACGTCTGGCAACGGTGCGCTCACAATATGTTATCACCCTAGGCACCGAAACTGTACTGTTAGAGTCCTCCTGAAAGGAATCGGTGGGGTTGTTGATAGCGTGTAGGTGGGATCTATGATGTAGAAATGACATGTCAGAGAGCTACAGCCCACTGGGTGCCCGATCCCAAATGCCGGAGAAGAGTCATCAGAAATTGGCCTGGTGCACGCATGACTAACGCGAATAGCCAGTCCTTCACCTGAACTGCCCAAGATGGACCCAGTGCTGCAACAAAGACCCCGTATCGGTTATACAAGAAAACGGATAGAGACGTCACAAGCTGACCTGCTGAAGATTTCAATTTGAACAGCCAAGACAGGCAGGTATAAAGAAGATCAGATTCCCGAAAATTGCCCCAATATGCCCAGAACTTGGAGAGATCCTCAAACTCCACAGAAACGTCAACAAGGAAGCGGACCAGCATTCGGGCCGGCCAATCAATCAATCAATTCAACAACGGCCAAGGTCACTGAAAAGTACTATTTCAGCCGCGCGATTCTCCTTATAACTTTTGAGGTCTCGCCTTACAGTAGGGCTGTTGATGATGTGTTGGCGAGGCTTTTTCTGGCACCAAGGGTTTGCAGTGGGAGACAACAGTTAGGTAAATGGCCGAATGAGTCAACGTGGCTAAGGACAGGCAGTGGCTGACAAGATCAAAACAACCAATGTGAGGAAGTGTAACGTGGGTCTTGGTGTGTTGAAAGCGGAACGTAACCATTTGAAATCAGATGTGTAATGTTGCACCCCGGACGACGTATAACAAGCAGAAGCAACCCGACTGATTTGAGCGCATCGGGTAGGCATTGCCATAGTGGGGGAAGATGATCTGTCGCCTGAAGTCGGCAGGTCGGGTGGGGCGAGACTGATTTGCATGGACGTTACGTCTGCGGAGACAGTTCACCAGTTGGGGCTATATATTTCATAAATCAGTAAGAGCTTTGTGCCCCAGCTTGCCAGCCCCTAAAAAGCGGTGCGTGATTGCGAACAACCATATTGTAGCATCCCTTATAATGCTTCCGCCAGTTTGGTGCAGCCAACGTAAGCGTTTCAAACCTAATTCAAAAAACTTACCGCGGCACTTTCCGGAAAAGCAGCTTCAGGCAGATTTGAAACTCTAAAACTGGAAACATTAATTAACGTGGCTCAGAAATGGCGACTCCGAATAACACACATGAAACAAGATGGAGAATTCACTTGCAGAATTTCATGACGTCAGTGCTGGGGCACGTTCTAATCGTACATCATGTCCCATTGTTTTTGTGGCGTTTCTCGTAACAGGCCTGTCTCGTTGTTTGCACATTCCTCCCTATTGTGTTGCGCGCCGCGTGTTCCTTAGACAGTGGGAAAAATTACTATTATTATTATTTCACTCGATCCATATGACCCGAAGCGGAATGTGGGGAAAACCATTTAGACCATAATGGAGCGACTCTCTCGGAAGAAGAACTCCTCGACTGTTGGGCCGAATACTTCAAACAATAATCATCGCGGCCACCAGCTTCACCTATTCGGAAACAACAGCTGAGTTAGAACTCTGAACAGTGAACGTGAAACCCTCTTCTGCATCGGGGGCATATGATAGCACACCTTCTCTCGAGCGCAACCGAGCTTCACGAACACATTAGCAAAAGACGGGAGCGATATATGCAATCAGCTCTGTCTGATCCGCTCTCTCACCTTTCGTAAATAGAGACCATCCCACACAACAAGGGGCAGCAGTGATTGAGCTCATTTCCAAAAACGGGGCTCGGGTTGGGAGTGGTACCAATAAGGGGATCAGCTTACCCCGCGGTTTTAACGATACTATTGGTGTTGTACGTCAACATTCGCTTTATGATAGTTCACTCACTCAAGAGCAGCTGGCGGGATTAGGACCTGGTTGGGTTCCTGGATTTCAGGATTACTTTGTTTTCGGTTGAACGGTCTGCCGCGGGTGTTGTACGTCAACATTCGCTTTATGATGGTTCACGAAACACTCACTCAAGAGCAGCTGGCAGGATTAGGACCAGGTTGGGTTATTGGAGCAGGATTACGTTGTTTTCGGTTGAACGGTCTGCTGCCCCAAAAACGGGGCTCGGGTTGGGAGTGGTACCAATAAGGGGATCAGCTTACCCCGCGGTTTTAACGATACTATTGGTGTTGTACGTCAACATTCGCTTTATGATAGTTCACTCACTCAAGAGCAGCTGGCGGGATTAGGACCTGGTTGGGTTCCTGGATTTCAGGATTACTTTGTTTTCGGTTGAACGGTCTGCCGCGGGACACATCTGTCAAGCCAAGAACGTCCCGGAAGTCTCTCAAAGCTTCCGTGATGTCCGTCAGAAGCCTCCACTTTCTTCCTTCCTATCAGCCTCATGATACATGCGATGATGAGAAGAACTCTGGAACGCCTCCAAAACACCGGTATACACTTGGACTCTGACGAAAACATTGTTGATGTGGAATGTGCAGTCCATATCGTTCCCGTATTCGAAGAGGGGAAGATGCGTGTGTTTTGGGATGAACTGATCAAAGCTCTTTGAAATGCAGTGTGCACGCATCGTGGTTGTAGACATGCGATCAGTGAACACGCCGCCTAAAATCCAGGGGGAGAGACTCACAGATATGGAGATTTTACCTATTCTTGACCTAGTGTTAGCCCCGACTGTGTTATGGCAGACTAGGTTGCTGCGCAAATCTGCAAGGTTCGAGGCACGTTTTCTAAATTGGAACACCAAAGCATTCTACCACTGAATCTTAAGGGACAGTTGAATAAGAATTTATTACGGACGGCTTGGTTGTGTAGATAGGAAACTTTTCCATTCGCTCGGCAGGACTGAGACGCCTCAAGGTGTTCCAAAACCGTTACCTTGCAACCATTTTTGGTGTCAGTTAATGCCAAGGAGGCAAATAGGCGCCGAGTTTTCGGTTGTGCAATCTAAGAATGTGTCAGGCGCCAGAATATGTCTTGGTTGGGTAATGTGGTGCGCGTGCCAAACCCTCGTTTCCAGAAAAAATTGCTGTTTTCTATGTTCAATTCAGGGAGATGGAATATGGCGGGAGACTGTCTCTGACTTGACAGAGGTTTATGAGAGAAGTTGCGAAAATTCTGGGTGCTGTCGGTGCTATTCACCTTCGAGGATATGGACCGCACGATCTTTATATCGCTTTTTCACAGACGCTCTAATTCATGGCTGGTGATCTACTGCAACAGCGTTCGTGTTGTCAGTTTCTATTCAAATTGTCTGACTGAGTGCCGAGAGGTGTAGTTGTAAATAAGCTTGCTCCACGCTCACTTTCTGTCTACTCTCATTCTCTTCTCTACATCTAGTCTCCCAAATAAATCACGGTTTCACGGCAGCGAATTATCGGCGTGCAACACTGATGTCACGGTATCGAGGACCGTCATGGTGATCTTCATGGCGATTGGTGAGATAACCCAAATCGTAAAAGTGATTTTTCAAATATGCATCAACCCGAAGTACCCACCGATTACACAATTGAGCACCACTGCCCCGGAAAGGGTGCGTCTGAACTGATGGTGGAATGCGAAATCTCTGTAAGTCTGGAGGACCACTACCTAGGTTGCATGTTTTAGCAATTTAAATACCGCCCCGTGTGCCATGACGGTCGGGTAAATGAAAAAGGAGTCAAATGTACTGTCCTTCTGAGGTGTTTTACATCAGAGTACCGTGCCTGAGTGTGCGAAATTTATTCACCGAGTTTTCCTGCATGTTCCGGATTGGGTTGGACGGAAATTATATTCCTCCACCGAACTCGAAACCCTTAGATTTTGTGTGCCATTCTAGAATGGATGAGAGAAGGTCACTCAGAAGCACACACTAGTGCTTGCTTCTTGAAACGGTCGCCAAATATTTAAATAACATGCCACATGCCGTAGCTGTGGCCACAAGCTTGAAAACGTGAAAGTGAAGCTAGAAATCTGCTGAAATGAACTATTTTTGCAACGCACCTAGGCAATGCAAATTGGCGGCCAAATTTTTCGAAGCGTAGTCCGCTTACACGTACTCACTTAGAAGTTCTCCTTCCCACCATTTGAGTTTCTAAGTTCACCCTATTCACAGCCCAACGCTGTGAATAGCCTGTATAAAACTCCGCCACCGTTAAAAAAGAATTCCAACTGAAGTGAGTATTTACTCAAATTCCGGGGGCACGTGTGTATCCTCGGCTGCAACGGCTTTGTCGAATGTTAGCATTAAAAATCAAATCATGATTTTTCTCCCTACGTGAACTGTTCGTGTTGAAACGTATCACAAAGAATACGTTAACTGTTTAGGCGCTATTTTAGTTCGGTAAACAGTGGGCAGCCTTCAAAGGGCGTGGACAGATAACTCGTCCATTTATGTGATTGGATAGTGGCTTAACCCAGCCATTGTGGCGGGCGTTCAAACATGAAAATTGAACTGATTAATCCGAAGTATATCCCTCATTTTCAGTTTCCAGGGTGCTTGACTGTCAAATCTTACCGGATGCGAAACTTCGTCTTAGGAATACTGAACACATGTAACATAACTTAAGCGATAGGACATCTTAATTTCGAAGATAACCATGAGATCTATTAACTCGCTGATACAATGGGTACGTCGAGTTGGTCATACGATTAGCGGCTGTCCAATCGGCGGTGGAAATTCTGCTGGGTCTACCGCTAATAGGGTGCTTGTGCATCTGCTCTACGAATGTAGCTGTGTGGTGCGGCCTTGGCAATATTCTGTTTCCTACGACCATATATGTCCATCAAACCTTTTTTCAGAAAGTGCATGGACTCTTTCCATGTGGACAATTTCGATCCCCTTTATTTGCAAAATAGTGGGACGTCGGCTCGGGATGCTGTGGAGCTCATTGAAGACAAACTTGCAACTGAACGTATGCTTCGTAGGACGTAAGTTTACCTTGTGTTATCCAAAAGAAACTGCGTTCTCCACTGCAAAATAGGCTAAGACGTCGCACCTGGCAACGATCTTGATATCAGTGCTGTGATCTTTGGCCTTCTGGGATATAATCCCAGAGGTGGCCACCTGTCTTGGTAGGCGTTACGTACCTTTGAAAGTACTACACAGTCTTGCAGCATTTTGGACCCTTTATGTTCTTCAGGAGGAGCAACTTGAGCCTACTACTTCGATCTGCCTATCTAGTCAGCTGCATAAAACGGTACACTACCGTGAGCGAAGACGATGCATGCATTATCAAGGCTTCCGAGACGTTTGCAGACTTGTAGAATATACCTGCTTGAGCAGTCCTACTAAATGGCTGCTAAAATATGTCCCTTCAAACTGAGAATACCTTTAAACGGTTAAACATCCCAGTGAACACGTCACCGCCGCACCACCGGTGGCAACAGGTGGCAAATAGGGGTGGTAGGTTACGCTTGCCACCGATGGCGTCACCGATGTCTAAAGCGGCCAAAGGTGGCAACCCAAAAATTTCATGATATATTTAATCGGTGGTGCATTCAAACAAATCGGTTTCAAAAATTACTTCGTAAGTAGAGCTCCAGTATCCAGAGTATCGTGTTACATTTGTTTTCAGAAGGCTTTTTATGCAACAAATTCTATGTTTGGCTTGTATTCACAAACAAAATCAGTGGCAAAGCTAGCCACCTTTGGCCACCGTTAGCCACCGGTGGCACTGTGTTTACTGGGATGGATGATTTCGCAGCATGTCATGCGCCAGCTGATTGCAACATACTCCTAACATATTTTATCATGAGCGAACACTTGATATTGAGTCAACCTCCACAGCAGTTACTAAAAATTACCATGTTAAATTACTTGGAACATGTACTAATCATGCTGAACTGCTGTACTGGCTTATACTTTTTTGGTGAAAGATCCGCTCATGCTAGAGCATGAAAGGGCAACGTAAAGTGAATATGTCCACTACCAAACCTGTTACTGTGGGATCTTTATGCCTTTATGGGTGGCGTCCATTTGATGCCTGTGTTTAGAAACCCCACGGGGCATGGCATGCGGTGCCCGTAGTGATTGTACTATCATTTTTTAACCTTTATTGCTCCAAATAAACTTTGTCTGGCGTTTTATGCTGGACTCATGTTACGTGAGATTCACAATGAGCATTGGGTCATCTCACTGGTGGCTTCCTTTTTTGATATGAAGCTCAGGTGCTGTTGGTGTTCCGTTGGTGTTGGTTTTCTTCATAGCTTCACATATGGAGGCTTTTGTACTGGGTCGCTATTCCTCCTTTCTGCATTTCACTAGAACATTCCTCACAGAGTGCCTGGCTTTAAGCTCTAGATAGCTCAAGGGCTTAATCTGCCAACTTATTGACTGGAAGGCCCGTAGTTCGCAGCCAGTCTCCGCGTCTCGACTGCTTTCTAAGCTTGGGTAGTCTGGCACTAATTAGCCGTCTGACTTCGTTCGGACTGCATTGCAGCTTTGTATCGGAGGGATGTTACAGCTGAATGGTAATACTTTCTTATCATATGACGTTTAAACACCAGTACATACTATTTCTGTGTTGATCTCGCTGGTGGTCAACCCAAGAAGACTGCAGCATGACTTGTTGCACTTAAGCAATACACATGACACTTATAGTTTGGAGACCATAGGAAATGCAGTGCGGTATTTTAACCCACTTGATTGTTCCTTGATTCAGTTATCAAATAAGTCGCAGCTTATATACGATCAGTGTTCAAGGAAGGCCATGAGATGTGGCTATAATGATGGCATACATTTAAATGACAGTCACAAGGAGAAAGGAGCTTTTGGAATGTGGTGCAAGTAAGAGGCGGGTTTTGTCACGGATTAAAGGTTAGTTTTCGCGCCTAGAATGTTTGTTCAAATGCAAAGAGGTTTATACAATTATGTCACCTGGCGTGTTCTGGCTGTCAGGAGACTAGAGGAGGGTTTTAGCGGCAACATGGAGCAAACTGTCCTGCGTCACCTCTATAGATCCATAAAGATTTATGCATGGGACCCATTTGCCATTTTCTGTAATCTTTTTCGCCCGTCCTAATCTAATAAAACAACGTCAACTACCTTTCTCAGCTCAGCACGATACCTGAGCATCGGTAGTTCATCGTCGCCAGCAGCAGCTGTTAGAAACGCATAATTGCCGTACAGTGGTTCTATCTGCCACAATTTCTTTCACCGGTGGTTTGGGGAGATTTAATGGTCATCAGACTGTTCACCAAGACCTCACTACCTTTGAAAAGTGCCCGTTGTCTTGTTGCGTTGAAGGAGTGCTATCTTACACTAGATCTCTGTTGCTGACGGCGGGTTTATTTCTATGTTCCATTTAGATCGTCTGCGTTCTTTCAGAGTTTTTGTTGAGGGAGTGAATCGCCGTCCCTTCTTTTTCGCATATCGCTCCACTGATACTTGTCCTCTTTGACCTATTGCTTGAATCAGCAGGCTCGGATGTTGCCCACAGCGAAATCCTTCTCCATCTCCTAGGCCTTCGTTGTCCATAAGCGTTCTCTGGCATTTTTTAAGCTCTTGGTTATCCGGCATTTGAGGGATCTGCGTCATCATTATCGCCCACAGCGAAATCCTTCTCCATCTCCTAGGCCTTCGTTGTCCATAAGCGTTCTCTGGCATTTTTTAAGCTCTTGGTTATCCGGCATTTGAGGGATCTGCGTGCGCCATCATTATCGATTGATGGCATGGCTATTCCGCCAGCATTAAGATATGCTGAATTCGTTGATATCTAGTGTTCATTTGGTTGAGTCGGATAGCCACGACAAACAATTTTGAAAGCTGATCGAATAGCCCCTTTAACTCGCTTCTTTTCGAACTCCAGGCAGTTTTCTTTACCCCCATGGTCGCTTTTTCAGTAGCTTCCTAGCCAGATAATCTTGAGCTACTGAAACTTGTCGAAGGTGATGAGTGGAGTTGCTCTGCTTTTGCACACGTAATGCTGACAGAAACCGAAGTGATAACCCGCCCGGCACAATGTTATGATCAGAATCAAGTTGCGTACTCCAGAATGGTCAATGATATTTAATTGGGGCTCTCCATCTGGAATGGGTCCAATTGAATCCATGACTGTCTAGCGGTCGATCTCTTTCCGGTAACTCGAGGTGAGCGTTCATGCTGAGAGTTCGTACTGGCCAGGAACAGACGATGATCAGCATACAACTGATGCAGTCGCGCTCCATTATCGCTCAACAATGAAACGATTGGTTTTGTGTGCTTTGTGGAATGAATTGAATGAGTCACTACGTATGCGCCATGCGCAAAATTCTTTTGGTATCTTAGTTCAACTTTTCCAACTGCGTGAATCGCACTCTGTGAAGTCTTTACCCACCACGAAGCGGACAATAGTATTCCCGTTTTGGGTACCTTACTTATAGGACCACTGACTGCAGGTCATTGTGAACGGCATATTGAACCATCTCCAATGCTCCTTATGGAAACAAAGGGTGGTTAAGATTTAGGTTGATTTATTGAAATTTCCAGGCACCAGTTGTGTCATATGCGCTGCTAACTCAAAGTGGTCGTTTTTGCTACTTCGGGTGACTGAATAATATGTACTTGTTATCCCGTCAGTAATGTTGGAGCTACCTTCATGCTTCTAGGCGCTTTCATCATTGCCAATAAGCTCGATGTCCCCCGCCAACCGACTTTACATTGGTGACGGTTGTTATGTCCTCTTTGATGGATCAGTCAGATACGTTAGATCACCGAAATGGAGAAGACGAACAACTTCAAGGAAGTTATACTGCAAACAAGTGGATCGTTCCGTGGTATGAATTCTACTGAATATAAAAAGAGCTAACAGTCCAATAGGATGTCAGTGAGAGGCTGAAATGTAGAAACAAGGTTTTAGTATACAAGACAAATCGTTAGTTAAATGGATTTGTTCGTTTGAAGGTAGTCCTTCTAACAACGGTTCTCCTAGCGACGTCAGTGAAGAGTTTCGGATTATAATGTTTCCGAGTTCAACATCGTTGAAGGAAACCTTTAGAAAGGTTGCGATTCAAGAGCACCTTCCTTGAACTTACCCGGACGTCTTGCGCTGAAGTTCAATGTCCGAAAATCATCAGTTCGCTTCCTTCCTTCAACCTATGAGAGCTTGGTTCTCTGAAATTGGTTCAGCGCTGTAGGACTTAGGTGACTTTTGGGTCCTGATCCGTCACATATGATAGGCATTTACTGAGGTAAATATTTGTACACTATAGATGACATGGCAATGCTCTCGCCGGCATGCAGTTATTTTAAAAATCCACCTCCCTGAAAAGCCGCTTGAGCATCAACTATGAATCTGTCCTCTCACAAAAACGTCCACCAGCAGTTGAATCGAGGTCACATCAGTAGTAAATCAATGTTACTCATTTTACTCGCACTAGTAAGCACTGATGTGGACCGCCTTCAAATTCTGAGACTGAATCGAATGTATTTTTAAAACAGGTAGGTATCAACATGTACAATACGAGCATGTTGGTGTTCCGGTCGCCATCAAGATGGACCGTCTCTTGAATAGGCTTGCGAAATGGCCCTCACTCGCTTTCGTTCATTGAGTTGTGTTCACTTCCGACACCACAACTAGTGTCCCTCCAAAACAGCGGCTACAAGCGGTCAAACGGAAATACCTAGTATTCATGGGAAGTAGCAACTAGGATGCCATCACCGCAACACTAGTCTCAATGTCGGTGTGCGAATTGTGTAAAGTAGTCATTGTCAGGCCTTACGCAGTTACGTCATGGCATTCGGAGATTCTATCATTTCGGGTTGGTCATCGGTTGTAGATTTACCGAATTCGGATCGGCTGGAGAGCACGCGCTCGTTAACCTATCTTATCGTTTTTATAAAAAAAACAGTGTCATTCTGGAGGGACATCTCTTCATCGTTATCATTATTAACATAATCGAGAGCATAACGTCAGCGTTCACCAATGATACTTCACTGGCATACAAGAGCAATTTATTTGAAACTTATTTGAAAATTGTATTGTAAAGGAAAGGATGGATGGATGGGAAATAGACCAAGTGTTCGTCCACTACAGTCATTCCGAGTTGCCTACACCTTCAGATAATCTGTATAGGAATGGACGACAAGGACTCCATTGACATTGATTAGCAGCCATGTCCTGCGGCGTTTTCAACTATACAGTTTTTTTAAAAATCGATCAGCTGTAACACCCGGTGTCTAGCTGCCATGCCAGGGAGTAACATGGCTGATATGCTTGCAAGTTGTCCATGCTTAGGGGTTGGGTTCGAACGACGAGTCTTACAGTCGGTATTTTCGCGCCTTAGCCACTGAGCTGTGTCGAGCTCAATTATGAACAGGATGGATCCCACAGATCCCATCCAGGAAGGAGAGTTGCATCAACAGCACCCAGACTTTTCGCATTTGCTTTCGTTTTCTTCTACAACATCAGAGGTTGAACGAATTTCTTCCTGATCACTCAATTTAGTTAGGACAGCAACACACCGTTCTTCAAGCGATGATTTGGCACGCGCAATACATGGTCCAACCAACCCAGTTTTGCTGCTGGATACATTCTTCGATTTTGGGTTGGGTATATGTAATACATTGTTTTTTTTACCTGAAGATGTGGTCAACGTCACCCCTACCAGACCCGGACCGCGCTTGTCACTCTGGTATCAATGCCTCACGGCGAAGAAGGAAAAGTGACTCTAAGAGTCTCCTTACGACTGGATTCAAGCCGTTATTGCCGAAATCACCATGGGTGTTTTGAAAGACGGGTACGTCGGTGAATCTACCATTTTTCGAGATAGTCTTCTTTTTTCACTTGATGGTAAATAGACCAGACCGGTGCTAACTTAAGACCCTACCCCCTTCCTTGAACAATGGGGGTGGAGGACATTGGACTTCGATTTTGGTGGTGCTTAAGAAAATATTTGCATTCCGAGGCCGCAGAAGGTTCCGGGTTTACGATCAAAGGCTCTGGTGCAGGCGCAACAGCAGGTGGTCACGAGAATTTTTGTTTAAGCTGCTGATCCCAACGACCGAGTTATCCTCCATTAAAAACAATTGCACTAGTCTGACCCTTGATGATTTCGCTCAGAATTGATTTTTGGGGACGAGCCACACGAGCATTCCCGGTTTTCTTTGCCTGTTTCATTTTCATAGCCTTCTGTTCCCTGCGAGCTTCACAGTCGGCGCGCATTCAATGACTGTCTCAAGTTAACCACTGAACTAAATAATAATAATCTTTCAGCTATGACGCCCTCCGGGTACCTAGCTGCCATTTCACCCGAAGGAAGCACGAGGCATAAGATGCTGTCAGATTATCCAAGCCTGGACAGGAGCAGTCGAGATTCAGAGATTGGCGTTGAACCCGAACTTTCCGGTCAGTGAGTTCGCTCCTTAAACCTTGATCGATCTCGAACTCCTACTTAGATTTGTCCCTGTTGCCATTTAGCGGCCCTCTTACGTTCTTTGTTGATTCACAGTCCAACAATTGGTAATCACAAGTCTTTCCATGGTTTAGTTAAGTATAATTCGAGACAAAAGTATAGGTCCCTGCATGCTTCCAGCACAACTATTCCTGGATGGGATGTAACGATTTCAGTCTCGGAGTAATACCATCATAAACGGAACTCATAGTTTGGAGGACCATTGCTTAAGGGGGCTTGGAGTAAAAACACCAAAAGGTGGGGCGATAAAAGTTTATTACCAGTCCAGACAGCTGTTCCACTCCTGACCGCTTCGCCTCGAAGCTTGTATCAGCCGCTCGACCATACTTTCGGTAACCGTCTAGGTGGCCGTATGGTCGATACTTTTTCATTCTTTTTACATAAATGTTACTCAAGATGTTTGGGAACCGACTTTTCACATCTGACAGCATAACCCAATATTTTTCGATTCCGTTGTCCATCTATGGGCACTCTCGGTCGTGTTACTTTCCTCCGCAAATTCCAGTTAGCCTGCAGTCACTGGTGTTCTTTTACCTGTTTTTTGGGGCATTTCCGCGCGTCTCCATCCCCACCACAATACGTCTGACGGCTGTCGGACAGACTGACTATTCATCTTTATGTGAACGCCAATAATAGTTGCTCCGGCCCTAAAATCCATTTACCAGAGTCTAATTTCACTCAGCAATCTTAATTATGTCGCTCCACATGCTGAAGTGACCTCCAACTCAAACAAGAGGGTATCGATCCATGGAAACGATGCCTCCTTCCAATGAAGTCATTCGATGCGTTCAACACAACAACCGCAATGATTGTGGAGCAAGTGAAAATTCACAATTCCCGACAGTCCACCCGAATTCCGACACCGCTTAGCCTCAACTAACTCTGCTGTCACCAATGGTCAGGATGGAACCGTCTCATCGTTTTCTAATAAAACAACTCCTTGGTTGCTAGGCAAGATGCATGGTAGAGCATAGTACCCATGGAAATAAAATTAACATCAGTCGGTGAACATTGACGTTGTCTCTTGGCGTGTAGGAGGTACAAAGTATAAATACTGAGTCATATCTAAGACGATAATATATCGATTACGATGCTGGAGGGATCGTTGTTGTCCTTCACTAACGCGAGAGACATAGGTGGGATATTTTGGTGAAACAATAATGGTCTGAGCCTTCCCTCGCGTAAAGATATGGGGCTGGCTAGCTTGTAGTCCCGAACTCAAACCGCACGATGATTCGTTGAACATACTGGAGCGCCAAGGGTACAAAGGCGGCGATTTCTCGGATGCGCAAGTTTAAGGCTCCGAAGCGGAATGACTATCCCTAACATCAGTGTGGAGGTCATCTTGACTTGATTGGATGTACGACAAGGCGATTGATAGAGGTCTGGAGGCGAAATAGAGTAGCTTCTTGTGGTGATCCCTTATTTTTGCCAAGTAAAAGTTCCGATTTTATACACCATGCTTCTTGTTTCAAGACGTAGCCCTGCAGATGGTGGTTTTGTGATGGTGATCACCTGATTGAAAGTTTTTCTGGTCAATCTCAATATGATTTTGGTGAGAAATATGGGGTGGTCCTGTAATTTTGTTACAGTAAAATTTCAAATATCTGAGTTCCTTCCTCAACATTCACTGTGTTTGTCATGATACGCTTAAGACATGTGCCTCCTGCTCCCAGAGTGCCAATTCGGGTTACTCATTGGAGTGACTCGCAGCTTTAGTAAAACATCCATGTTGAATTCGTTGTGTACTCTAGTTCACGTTGAGAGGTGCGCCAGGACCCCAAGACCCTATCAACAATCCAGATCTACTTATCCGGTTAGGTTTAGCTGCATTCGAACATATCATATGTCGCAGCATGAATCCGACTTCAACCATTAATTTGGATGCGTATGCATTACCGTTGGACATCACTTTGTTGTGACTTGGATCTCTCACGTGGTGCTTCTCCATCATTTTGGAGGTAGTTGTGTTGGTCTGATTGCATCAGGTGAGACCAGTAACTTGTGTTAATTTTAGGCTGGCACTATGACCGTTCGTTTAATGATAAGAGTTTCTTTGAATGGGTTGCTGTGTGGACATATCTTAATATCCTGGTGTTTCGTAATAGTGTTTTAATAGTCAGTGGTGACGTACCGAAACCTTGTCCAAGGTTATGTTCGTAACGGAGCGATGTCAACAAAATTATTTCATTGCATTGCAGTGAAGTACTTGTATGACTTTCTATTTCAATGTCCTGTAATCAGGTTTACAATTTCGCTCATCTCAAACTCCATTCCACTCAATATGATACGCTACTTTGCGAACCTCTAAATTCACTTAGCGGTCTTGCATACACCCACTCAATTATGTATTGTTTATTTGTTGAGACGCAAAGTTAGTCTTCCGTTTAGACATTATAGTAAGGTAAGTTTTAACACTGCATTCATAGTGTATTACACAGTATATTCTGTTAAGCCATGATTTGGTGCAATAGCGCAAAATCAGTTGAAAGAAAATTGAGTTGACTCTTCCATCAACGCCGGTGTAATCTGTAAAGGACTGCAATTCGCGAATTGCGTGCAATTTGGTATGCAAATAGAACATAAGGTTGGTAGAATCGCAAGGACTGAGCGTACCTGATGTGTCTCCAAAGAGAGCTAAACTGGTAGTGGATGAAGTTCCCAGCTACTTGAGGAGTAGCGTGCTAGTCAGTTAAGTGAGATATTTTTAAGCCTTTCCCAACATCCTGTCGTCAACCAGTACCCTAGACTCATAGCCTAACACACGCTATTTTTACCCTGTGAGTTTTTAAATGAAATGTATGTTGGTCGCATGAAGTTCCCAAGTTACTTAATATACACCTGTTGGACTGTGCTGTTGCATCCATATGCTATCTGTAATTGTTTATGTGTTGTGCACTTGGAAATCACTACTTTGGACCAAATTGTTTCCCCATAGCTGTGAAGTCCAGTGTCATACCTTGCGAAGAGAACTGGAATCGAGAGATGATCAGCTGGAACAAGTGAAGCACAGCTTGATGTCTCGTGTAGCCGATGCTGAAACTCAAATGGACATGCTCGTTCGTCTGCACGGTGAAGAGAAGGGAAAGGCGGAAAAGGCAGCCAATAAACTGCGGGCTTCAGTACAGAAACTGCAACGTCGACATGATTTTGAGAAGCAGGAACTCCAGAATGCGGTGAGTTGCAACATTCCACTATCTATATAGTCCCCAGATCAATGGCCTGATGTATCTGTTGCCACCCTATTGTTTTGGAAATACCCCGAAAGGCCGAACGCATGAGAACTCTTTTCTAATCGCTGTAAGACCATCTACCTATTTCGACGGATTCCCTTCCATTAACTATGTGCACTGTATCTTCAACAAAGCCACCCACACGCCTATGAGGAACAACTACTCTCCCTGAAAGAAGAAAATGAATCCAAATAACAATTAATAACTACAGAGAGGAAGCCACAAGTTTCAAGATCTACATATCGTGAAGGACTTGAATTATGGTGTACCACTTATCGCATATGTGGCTCTTGAATTGGTTGAAACCTGTTCAACTTGGCATGGTTGAACAATGGTGTTGGTAGACGTACACTGCACATGCCCAGCCATCATCCACCGTTGTTATCCTTTTGGGAGCTTTCTAGCGATAGTTCCACGGGAAAAAGACCAAGATATGGCAACACGAACTGAAAGCGGTTGCATTCAAACGGACAACTATGACTTCCCGGTGAGGGTGCACGTTATTCTCCTCGCACATGATTTTCACTCCTGCAGGACGTGGAACGTAACCAATCCCAGTGCCGAAACACCAAACTATTTTTTATCTTTCGTTATGTGTTCAGCTTGTGTTCCAGTTTTTCGTGGAATGCCTTTTCAATCCTGCTGATGGCGTCTTAATCTGACTTGATGCTCAGTTTTGTTTGTTCCAGTGTCGTTCGAAGTGCCATTCGCGGTCTTTTCTGAGTAAACTAAGCGCTAGATTCTCATCTTTCCCTTTCCTTCGCATCTTTTTCTTGTGACCTTTCCTCATTGTCTTACAATAGTTAAGGATCGCTATTCACCATTAATCGCCATGTCACTGTTACTGTTGTATTATTACTATTATTATTGCTGTAATTATTATCTTGTTAGCGATCACAGTTCTAGTTCCACTAGTTCCACAAAACGATGTTCAATAAAGCCAGTGGATGATGCATAAATGTCCCACGATTGGCAACCTTAACCTGACTACGAATGTCTCATTCGAGGAGATAAAGAGCTATCATAAGGGAAGCGAAACTCAAGCTAAATGGTGTAATTTGCCGTGGAAGGGAGTTCAACACACTGAGTAGTGCCTACCGGATTATGACTAGTTTATCCAGATCTAAAAGCCATCGGTGCGTTGGCTTATGTCGCAAGTTTACGTACTCCAAATGTGCCACTCTTTTTTCGCTATGTTTCCTTTTGTGTCACCGGGGTTAATACCCTTTCTCCCGGGGGTGCATTCTCACACAGAACGAAATCTTGAATTATCTGTGGAGGTGGGTGTGGCTTCACCAGAGGTACGAAATCCCTTTGAACTCTGGTGGAGAATGCTGACTCTCTTTGAAGGTCTATTTTCATAGGGTTGTGCTACTAAAGTGTAATTCGCCTATTTTCATTGCATCACTTCATCTGGTTTTCAGCTCATTGGACTACAAGAAGCCAATGAAAAACAGGCCGAACAATGGAAAACTTTATTACGGCAGAGCGAAGCCGACCGAGACGTGCTGTCTGCAGAGTTACGGAAAAGTGAAGCAAATGCAAATGTAAGTACTCTTCGGAGAACCTTTCCGCCAAGTGTGACATATTTGCTTGGATTTTTCTTCTACTCTTTCCAACCCAATCAAAAATAATGAGTAGTCTAATAAACATGGTTCGTTCAGTGGTGACCTACGATAAACTGCCATCTCCTCTTAGCTAGTTGCATGGTTTGTCGTAAGTTGAAGTCTTGATACTTGGGATAGAGGACTGGGAGGGGTGGTATTCGTTCTTTTTGTGTTTATGCAGAACGATATGGGGCGAACTGGTTCAGTGGTTAGAGCACCACTTTACTGACCGGAAAGTCCGTGGTTCGAACCCAACCTCCGCTTCTCGACTTCTTCTTCTGCCTAGACTTTGGCAGCCTAGCAGTGTTCCATCCCTCGTGCTTCCTTCAGATGGCATGACAGCCAGGCACCGAAAGCTGAACGATCATATAACAAATAGCAGGACCAAACCATCTGGTGGTGTAGTTTGAAGACTGCTGGTATCCTGACTAGTATTGTTTCCACCTTTTTATCATTTATCTTGCTGTTCGCCATCTTGTTATACTACTTTCTAAGTTGATCTGAACCTAACGCTTGTCTGATGAAATTTGGGTGAATCGTGACCATGTAGTGACCTTGGTAGGTAGCCGTTGATAATATCCCGTCCATCCTACGCCATCCCCATAAAGTAGGTCGTGTTAACCGCTTCAATTCGACGAATAAACTTTCATCACACCTTTTTCATCCTAATGTCCAACTGGCACAGTTCGAAAATAAGATTTCATCAGATTTCATCGATCAGTTCCTTGTATTATTTCTTCAACCCGCATTTCGTTTTCACATATTTCTCGGTATGGTATTTATTATTTGCACAAACCCTTATTTCGACTCGCTATGCGTTTCTACGAGTAGCATACAGAATTTTGGACATAAAACTGGACAGTTGATAGGAATGGCCTCAAACACACTTATTCAAAGTGACCTAAACCGAGTGGCCATCTTTGTCGTTATTATTATTATTATTATTAGTTAGAGTAGTGAAGTGAACTCATCAAAAAACCCGTAGATCAGTGTGTCGAAGTATGGATAGTTGTAGTGCATATGTTAGTTGTTGATCTTTTCACTGGGATTGGCAATTAATTTGCAAAAGCTTGTCACGAATCAATGAGGCATCATCAAATGCGCACTGATGATGTCCCCTCGTTTGGTGACGAAGCATTTGCATCTAGTTGCTTGTCACGAATCAATGAGGCATCATCAAATGCGCACTGATGATGTCCCCTCGTTTGGTGACGAAGCATTTGCAATCTAGTTGCTGAGTTCGGCGAGCAGATCAACAGCGAGCCGTTGGAACTCCCCCAAAGCAAGCAGCCGTCTCCCACAAGAGTGTTTAATTTCGTCATTGGTGACGTAGCGAGGCCAATCCAGTTGGGGCTCCTAAACCCTGATGTTTCGATTTATCCGAATCTTGTGAACCTATAATATGCACGCGATGTTGTTCTTATTCGTATGAAAGAGCAAGATGCGCAAACGTCACTAAGAAAGCTAACCAATATCATTTAGCCCTTCGTTGTATCGTTCGCACCTAGTTCACTCAGTCAGTTCGTCTTTTCGGCTGATTTCACCGTGCACCGAAGTGCGGTGGTCCCAGCTACCATAGCTTCGTTCTTCTTACTCATTAAGTACACTCCTATACTGCGGGACATGCAGGCCCTAACCATGGCTGTAGTAATTCAAGGAGTAGCATTTGAGATTTCGGAACATCCTATGTGTCTTGGTAGTTACGTCAACTGTGGCGAGGTCAGCGTGCGAGTCTTAAGGACCAGAATTAGGTTTGCCAATTTCCGCCGCCCCTAGCACCAACAAGGTCAATCACCTTTTACCCAGGGACTCATACCAGACTACAATTAGTGTTGTATTGTTGTACTGGTGCAAGATTTGATCACCTCAGATAGAAGGTTTTGTACACCTCCATATCTGTTATCTCTAAGAAATATAGCTGAAATCAGCCGGGATAAGCGAATTCACAATGATTTGATCAAGCTGTTTGCTATGACACTAGGCATTTCACTAGAAAACTGCATCCAGTGTTGCAAGCAAAGGGCGTTTGGCCATGTACTATGCATATATATTCCCCGTTTACCGGGACAAGCGTTGTTTTCCGTGCCTAATTCAGGGTGACGAAGTCCTAGAGGTGGGAAATATGTGGCTTGGCAGACGGAAATAAAAGATCATCCAAACATCTGGTTATTTTTTGTGATACCCGGTTTCCAGAATGGGACCTACGCTCCTCTCCCTGTGTTTGACTGAAGATACCGAAAGAAATAGCGGCTAACAGGTGCCTGTGACATTAATGCCGTCCGTTTTTATTGAGGTTGCTTGATTTAGTGTGGAAGGCGTAGGCACCCCAAGTGTTTCCTGTAGACTAGCGCTAGGTCCGTATTCTTGCTACATCTTCTCACTCTATGAATTGACGTGTTTGTGCATCAACACAGCACCTGTGTTCAATCCGCTGCTTCGGAATTGTGTATGGAGATTCACTACTTAGCATCCTGATATCAGAGCTAGGTCAAGTTTTCGAAACTAATCCGTCCTCGGAGCGCCACCACGCAATGACAAACCCATTAGTCACGGATCCGGTTTGTTCTGTCCGTTAGCCCAACATACCCTAGGATGATATTTTGTTTTAAACGCTTCAGTTATCTGACTCGATGCCGCTGACCCTCGATTTTAAGGGCCCACCGAGAAGAATCTGGACGTCAACATTTCCTCCGACCCTCCTTTCCACTTGTTGAGGCCTATATTAGTGTCCTTCAGTCTTTAATCCAGATCTTCAGGTAATGCTGCTTAGTTGGTCAGACAGAAACTCTTTCGGTAATATGCTTGTTTCCATTTGACAGACCTGTCCCGATCTCCTTAGGTGGTTGAGTAGACCTATCTCCTCCCTTCTGTTAGTGCGTGTTCTGAATTTCAGTTTATGAAAAATACCCGCTTCAGGCGTTGAATGAGGAAGCTGGAGTTTGATGTTACGTTGGTAGTTAGTCAACGTTTCGATACTTCCTGGACAAACATTTTGGTTTTCTAGCTACATAGGTTTGTACAACACGGAATCGCACTCCGTGCCCAATAGTTCGATCGCCAAACAGGGTTTGGCCAGGCCAGAAAGCCTGGTTACAAGGAACGAAACCTATGAGAATGGCGCCCTCGCTAATTGCCTTCTTTTAAAGTGGTACTAATGTCGTGCTTGTTTCTAGATCTATTCCATTCCCATTCAGCCCAGAACAAATATTACTTAAACAAGTGCTCACTAAGTTGTCCGTCAGTTTTCAGTGTTTGCATCAAACTTCGAAAGCCTTATATCGTGCACTGAAACAGTGCGAGACGTAGTCAATGAAACTCCGTTGATCGGACCGACAACTGCTCCTGATTTGCACTCGATAAACACGATTTTCATGAATCAAACTCGTATTGCTCGGTTGTCTTCACCTTTCATTGCTTTCTGTTGTAATTCAGGTCGTCGATACGAAAAACAACCGTTTATTTGAGACAGTCGCAGGATATGTCGCGAGTCACTGTTTTTCGCCAGACAATGTGGTTGTGTTAAATGAAATAAAAGAAGAGAGGGGAAAGTCTTTCGACGTAGTTTGCTAGGCGAAGAATTTATGTGGGTGATTTCTTCCCGGAATTGTGTCAAAAAATACACGAGTTTACTGTAAACTTTGTAACACAAGTAGAGTGGAATTTGCTTAAGGTAGCGCATATGCAAAGTTTTAAAATATAAAACGGTTCCTTTATTATGCATTTGGAACTCAAGCATGGTCAGAGAATACCTCAAATTTTTCACATTCTAAAAAGAACAACATGAGTGAGTTCCTTGGATGACCACAGTGCTTGCTAGTTCCAAACTTCAATGAGCAGAAGGTCACACTTTTTGTGATTACGAGCTGAAGAAATGGATGTACACTGGTGATAAAGTTCAATCTGAATGGTTCAGTTTGTACGGTCTTTCTGGGGCGCTTAATGCGAATTCCCGCTAGTCATAGCTTCAGTGATGGAATTTTCATGGTTCTGGATTCCATAGCCCTTATAGATGAACATCCTCGTCGAACCAGAAGGAAGAATACTGTCCATGCTTGCGCCAAGACAGTGAACGATTGCCCCCTTCCGTCGTTCCGCAAAAACAAGGAGCCATGCGGTGCGGCAGTTCGCACTGTTTAATTAACGAGTCTGTTGTTTTTCATCAGACAGTCATGCACACATACGGACAAAAACATGTAGGACATAATGACAGCCTGTGTCGCCCAAAAATAATCGTTTTAGTTCTGTAAGTGAACCGGAGATGTGATTAAGAGTTTTTAGACCAAACGCCTCCATAATTCATTTAGAAAATGCTCAAAAACGCTGTGCTCTTCTTCAATCAGTAGGCTGAGTGGCTTTAAGTCTACCAGCAGAAAGCCCATCGATTTTCGGACGTTCGGAGCGCTTCGTACCGTTTCTCATGCATTCGTCGATGGCGTTAATGTACTGAGTTATACGGGGCTAAACTGTTGGTCTCCCTCGAATGGTCTGATGGTCCGTTCTGCAGCAGGTCCTTCGCACCACCTGTGATGTACAGCTCCGACGTTTCGTCACAAACAATAGTAGGCTTGGGGAAAACCTGTGTTAGCGCTCCGATGAAAGGTTGTTCTGCTCCTTCTGACCCCATGCCATCTTGATATGTGTAAATGAGCGGGTAGCAGTGTGAGCAGGCGTCCCCCGTTAGCATTCAGAGCCCCGATGCTACGATATCCCAGAACGTCCGGTTGCAGTTAATGAGTTCTGCCGACACTGATGCCCGCCAGTAGAATACGGTCTTTTGTCAGAACCAGTCTAATTTTCATCTATATTCGTCTTTACTCGAATTTGCTTTGTTGCAGTGTTCATCGTGCGAACTCCTCTGCTGTAGCACTTACCCGGTTTATATTAATTTTTGATCGTGTTATCTGCAAACGAGCCAGCTATATCGTGCAACAACATGTCACATCTTCGACTTGTCCTTTCTTGTTTTTTTCGTTGTCTGTCCTTTCTTAACTTGTATGCCTCATAGAAGCGTTCCAACAGTCCTGTAGCAGTATACCGACTTGTAATAGTGGTTTGGATCAGCTGTACGCAACTGTCCTCCAGGAGGATCCACAAAATAAATAAGGACGCGCAGGCGCTTCCTCACCTGTAAGGTGGGACATAAACACTTCAACTAATCCTCTACCAATATCGGTACACCAGAACTGGTCCTAATTTTTCATACATGTACCAATTATAGACTTTTGAGACGTTCGAACATTCATGGATACACTTACCGGTTACCCTACAGACTATATTTGATCGTCATGGTATTCAATAAATATGCAGGGTATGTCACGCCTTTGTGTGAAATGTGGTTTGATGATCAAGTAGGCCTTCAAAGAACCTTCCCTTGGATCGTTGGTCTACGAGAACAATGAAGGCCACCACATCCATAATTTGCGGTGGTAGCATGGACCACAGTCCACTTGATTGATTCTGTCTCTGCTTTGTTATTAGTCTAAATCTTAGTTGTGTGTTCCGTGAACAGTTTCTTGTATTCTCGGTCACTGGTTGTGCAAACCCCGGTATTTTTCACCATGTTGCCATCATCACCTTAGCACTCCGGTTTCTATCATATAGTTCAGGGCCATTTCACGTTCATTTACAAATAGGGGTGGTTTTCTAGAATCTTATAATTATGAGAGTATCTTTTGCTGAAATCTCTTATCCATTCCAGGCGGCATGGCAGACTCGCCACCCGTTAGCCTGTCAGCCGAGAACGGCATAATATCTTTCGATCAAAAGCGAGACTTCATCTAGGCTGTGTCCGTTTGGAAGGTTGATCTGAAGATTCTTGAAGTTGACCTTTTATAACTTTATTGAACACTTCATCTGGCACGCTCATTCCAATTTCTTTAGAAACTCGCCGAAGAAAACACGCGGTGCAAAAAGGAACTGGAGCAGGCGAATTCGCTTACTGCACAGCTGCAGAAATCCAACAATCAATTGACCGTTGATCTGACTAAAGCTAAATGTGCTTTTCAGAAAGCTAGTTCGAGGGCAGAGACTGCAGCAGCTCAGATTGGGGATTTGCGTAAGCAATTGGAACAAGGTGTGTTTGTCTATGATTTAACATTGCAATGAGGTTGCTTTATGGTTTGCTAATCATTCAGCGGCTCAGACCTTCATCTCACGCGTAGTCTCCCATAGGTGACGATTACTCGTTCCGCAGCTTCACACGATTTAGAAAGTCTGTGAAAGTGCGCAGAGAGACAAAACAAGCAATCTCGAAATAACCCGCATTTAAAGGGGTTTCTTGGAGACGAACCAGCTTGAAGAGCAATATCCTCCAACCATCCAGAGTTCAGAGGACGCGATTCCTAAATATAATAAATAATAATAATACTCGTTCAGCTGTAACATCCCTTCGGTGCCTAGTTGCCATGCCACCCAAGGGAAGCACGAGGGCTGGTTGCCAGGTTGCCCAAGCCTAGACAGGGAAAGCCGGGAGGCAGAAGTCGGGTTCGAACCATACACATGTAATGGTGGCAGCGTGAGTCACGTGGCCTGACTCTTGTCAATGGTACTGCATAATGCCCCTGCTGGGTGTTTGATCCTTATGGGACTCTCCACTGGGATGCCTTACTGTGCGTACAATCCACTTCGAAGATATTACTTAATCATAGCGCTGGTCAAACCACTTAAAATGTGTGAAGCTCCTGTGAAAATTAGTTTTTAGCTACCTTAGCGGCTTGTTCCAGGTTTGCTCTCAGTTGACTGCTGTTGTCGAACTCAGTCAACGATATGGAACGGATGGCGTGTTATTAGTGCTAAATTTCGTCACTGCTATGACTTTTGATACCCGTTTGCTCATACGAAACGTCAAAGCTCGCCGATTTTTTTTTAAAAAAAGAACTATCTCAGTCATCAAAACACCAACAACTGTAGATAGATTATACAACGTAAACTTTTTCGTTTAACGGTAACAACCTGTTTAGTTAGGTCAGGGAACAGTTCTTCATAAGTAAACCCATCTTAACTGAGTTCTATCTGTCTCCACGTCATTTGAGTGGTACATGTTATTGATGTGTACATGTGCCGTCTTGTCATGCGGAGTACCTTTCCCAACGAGCTTAGTCCATTTCATGGTTTCAATTTTTTACTTCTCTATTCCAGCAACCTTATCTAGCTCACAGTCAGAGCAGTCGGCACGTTCTGCAAACGAACGGCGTTTTGCCGCAGAGTCTGCGCTACATGCCGTTAGGCAACGGGCAGATACGCAAAGTCTGAAGATTAGTCAACTGGAACGTGAACTAGCTACAGAGAGGGCTCGAATGGAGGAGAAGTGTAATAGCTTCGATGCAGAAAGTCAAAAACTACGACGTCGTATTCTGGCAATTCAGGGTGAGGCTGCCAAATGGAAGCGATTCTATGAAGCTGAACGTGTAAGCAGCTTTCCGGTGGTTCTGCTTTTGTTTCTACACATGCTGTTTGACGCTATAGGGTCAGTTTTGTTTACTCTGAGAGAATTCCGATCATCTACGCTTTCTAGGATGTTCACAAGAAACAAATTGACCAAGCGACAGAACTTGTCGAGGAGCTGACACACGAACGAGCCCAGTTGGAAGTGGAACTCACGGAGGCGTGCGCAGGCGAAGCGAAAAAATTGGAGCTCATTGAACAGCTGCAAAAACAGGCAACGATGAATGCTACTGATGTATCCTCTCGTCTTCGTGATGCCCTTTCCACGGGCGAGGAAAGTGTTGCAACCGTACGGGAGTTAAATCGACGGATTGCGGAATACTTACAACCGGAGCTAGAAAAAGCCAAGCGACGCTGTCAGGAGGCACAGGAAGAGTCTCAGGTACTTTGAGTTCTCGGCCACACAAGGTTTCAAACCAAAATAGTATACAGAGGATGAAATTCATTCACCAAAGAGAGTTAAACCTTGACGTTTGTACGCTTTAGACTGTCAGAACATCTTTAGCAATAGTTTTAAACAGGTATGTTCATCATTGCTGCCTTTGGCACCCGATTCAGGCGTTAGCTGTTCCAAATGGTTGTCTATTACTACCTGGGTAATGCTCAGAAAGTTGTGCTCGACAGAGCCTGTCTGCTTTTAAAATTCTGTTTGCAGATCTGTCTTCATAAAAATTGACCAACCCGATGGTTCTGGGTCCGCCTTTGGCATTCGTCACGTGGTGGTAGAGTGTGCTGGTTTATCATCTGCATCACACAGCTGTTGAACGATGATATCGAATAAACAGCAGCAGCAGCAGGGTTACAATAAACGGAATTTTCTTCATTTTTACCTTAGGAAGTGGTAATGGGTCCTGTTAAGTTAATCACATTTTAAGACAGCTGTCTACACCCTATATCAGGATTTCTTGCTTTTGGACCATTCGGACAGTGAACCTAATGAGGGTGTCGTGTCTCTCGATATTGGGTGGAACACACACGGAACTCTCAGTGACATAAGTGTATTTGCTTTTCGGCTTATGGTTTGGGGAATCGAAGTTTTTTCCTCTATATTTAAAGCATTATCCCCTCATGCTCTTTATGTTCGACGTACGTGTACTTTAAACGGAAGACGTAGACTTTCGCATGAACTCACTGGTATGTTTCTTCTGACTGAGAACTGGGGAAACCAAAAATTCGTCATGGGAATTGCGAAGTCCAGGCTTTGTATTCTAAAGTGTCCATCTGTATAAAAGACCCATTTCCAGCATGCACTGACGCTGTGTTGACTCCAGTCCCTATCTCAACTCCGATAATAAGGATTAATGTTGCTAAAGCTTTTACTTTTGTTTTCTTTTTACTTTGTTCACTTTGTTTGTTTACTTTGTTTTCAGTTGTGACGTAAGCGAACTCCTCATCTTATGCTTGTTGTATAGACTAGTGTTTCGTCATTTTTTTCATACCCAGTATGAAATGCTCTCTACCGTGATGCGTTTGTATCGGATTTATTCCTGGTGTTCATTTGTCGCTGCGCATCCCTCTGGCCACTCAGGAATGGCGTCAAAAACATGGGCTAATCCAAAGTGAGTTGACCGAATGTCGGGAAACCGTGAAGCGTCTGGAGTCACGTTTGTCCGAAAAGCAAACCAGCACAGAACATGAGCTTGATTCTCTGAAGGAACAATTGGTCCGTGCGAAAGAAGAAAAGCACTTGCAGTCCGCTTCGCTGAAAAAGGCGGAAGATCAGGTAATCAACTGCTATAGAAACTAATACGCTTGAAGCCTTTTTGTGCTGCTACTGTGTGAACCTCGTCTCACCTCATTTTCCCATTTTTACGTACGTTTCGACTCATCACTTCCAGCTACTTCAGCGCACCATCATTGTCATTGACAGCAACGGTAATCCATATTGCAGTGCCTTACATCCTCATCGGCTTATTTGAAGAAGGATCTTCTCATAAGAAGACAGCGATCATGCGTAGTTTTCGAATAAATCGCAAGCTAGACTAAAATCAGATTTGAACAGCTCACTTTATACTTTTTCGTCGTCCGATTGTCTTACACCCGCACGAAGCTTGTGTAGACTTTCAGTCAACATGATTCTTGTTCGAATCTGTTCATTCAAACAGATGTGTGCTTTCACTTTGTGAAAGCAGGGATGAACAACCAAACTGGTCTCGCTGCTGGCATGAATCGCCTGAGTAGGTGTAAAGTTTGAACTCAGTGAGTGGTGTGTTCCAGAGGTCGGTCGGAAAACTAGCATCACCCCTAAGGAAATCAATGTTCTAATGATGATCCCCGAGTTTTCACCGGGTTACATACAGCACTGTTCGTCGCTCTTCGCATGTTTCAGTGAGTGTTTACATGTGCCTGTCCCTAATTGTTCCACTGTCTGGTTAGCTCTGCATTGCTTTGTTCGAAGTCGTCCACTGCAGCATCGACCATAATCAGGGAGTGTTGGGTATTCTAGGCCCGTGTTCCTTTGAAGTAGAAACCCCTGATAGTTGGCCCGAGGGCGACTTATCTATTCCTCATTGATATCGGCTCGTAAAACACTGCTATCAGATTTCGGGTTGGCGGTGATCCTCACAAAGGGACTGTCAGACTCGTGTGCAAGTAACATCTATTTTGTTAGGCTATGTGGCCTTCGTTAGAAAGAATACTGCGCCATCGTAGCCAACCATCCGTTTCTTAATCTTACAGGACTACGATATCAAACAGGAAGACGGCTAAGTTCTTCTTTGCTCACACCGTACACATTTGCTAAGGCCCAACACTAGAGGATAGCCGAAAAAGGCGAGAGCACGGCTGACGCTGCAGTGGATCACAGTTTAACCGTTCTCTCCCGATAATATTCCACCATATCTAGTTTTATCGTGGAGTGGTTTTCTGTCCCTTGCTACTGTGAAACAATCCTCTAGCTTCATACAACTCCTAATTGTATCACGTCATCCTTGTTTTCTAACGGAGAATCAGTGTAAGATTCATACCTGAAGAATACCACGTAATACAATGTATTTTGCGCTCCTTCAATAGGAGAAATGTGCTACTTTTCAACACCGTCTTTGTTGCACTGTTGAATCGGTCTTATTACCATTAATTTTGATAAGCTATAACGACCGGTATTTGTAAAACTAGCGACCTTCGTTGGATTCTGACAGTCACCATCATGACGAACGTCCGATACTTTGTTTTTCGAAACGATAGAACTCCATGGGCTTGTTTGCCGCTACCACGAAATCTGCGATCGGTGGGTTTCATTGCATGTGCTTGCTTTTCGTGTCGCACCGTCCACTCTGTTTCACACTGATCGTCCTAAGTTATATCCAGCACCCATGTTGCACCATGTGTTGTCTTGAGCTTCAGTTCAGTGTCTGAATTTTTCAGGTTCGTCAGTACGAGGTCGAACTGGCTCACTTGAAACAAACACACGAAAATGTCCGTGCTTCTCTCGAAGACAGCTTGTCAAATGTTAAAAATCAGCTGGTGGAAGTGAAATCCTCACATGAGGCAAACACGGAGCGACTACACACTGCACAGCGTTTGGTCGTCCGTCTTAAAACAGCCCGCGATTCAGCGCTTGCCCAGCTCACTCGGATGGAAGATGAATTCAAATTAGCAGGCAAGCAGTACGAAAGATCTCAGATTCAAACGATGGATGAATTAGCCGCGCTCAAGCTGCAGCTGCAAGTGACTCAGCAAAAGTTATCCGATACGGAACGCATGGTTTGTTGGCTCTTCTCATCTTCTTTTTAACCGTACTTGGAGTGCACCGGTTGCCCATGAATGAAACAGTTTCATTTCACCTCTCTATACTTGCTCATGCTATGATATCCTTTCTGGATATTTCTATGGGGATATGAAGATGTGTTATTCCTGATGCTCACAATCGTTACACTGTGTTCACTTTCCGACTCAACGCATTTCCATTAATTTCGCAGCCCGCTTGCGTATTTTCTGTGAGAATTACTCAAAATCCCACATTTCGTGTAAAAACACTTATTCCGTTTGTTGCAGTAAACTGTCGACAACAGGAGTCTTGACCCATTCCTTTCGGGTCTTTCAGATCCGGTCAATTTCTTGAGATGCGGTCTTCTGTTCTGAAGTAAGCAAGGCAATAGGATTGGAATGCTCCTTCAAGGATATATATTTGTCTTCGGCTGACAAAGCATTGTATGGGAGACTTTCCAACCTTTATTGGTGCTAACAACAGCACGCTAAGAAAATTGCATTAGAACCGACTGTTTGCCGTATTTGTTCACTCGCTGTATGCCGCATGCCTCCTTTATTCGAACACTTCCGTCTACTGTTCGCGTATAGGTAACCGCATTTTCAAGTGAAAAAAGACTAAATCGGTCTCAAAAAGCAAGTGTTAATTACGTAAGGTTGTGTATGATCCAATCCAAGTCTGTTGATGATCCATCGCGCAAAATGAGGTTATCGAAGACTGTCGGGAGAAATTTATTTATTGGCCATATTGAGTTTTCTGGAGGTTACTCACCCCTAAAAGAAACCCATGGAACTGTTTTCCTAAAACCGCGCGAACGCCGTACTTCAGACACATACGTTAAGCCCCAGCCTTGGTCCTACTTCTAGTGCCCAACCATCTCGTCATTGTAGTACCCTTCTCTTTTATTCCAGGTCCTAACATATCTTTTACAATAAACGGACCTCACACGATTCATACCGATGTCTGTTGCTAACCATTGAGGGACCCCTAAATGAATTAGACAAAAATTGAAAAAATAATCGCTCACACCTCCCCCTTTGTATAGTCCTCTTCAAGTGACCTACTAAGTTGTGTTCCGCCAAGCAACTACTTTGATTGATGTTCTCTTCAGATTTTCTGCTTTTTTTGGAGGACAGTTCTAGGGGGACATAGGCTTACCTCACAGAAGTACCCAAAAATTCACCCGGCTTCTCTCATCAACCGTAAGGCCCAACTGCGGGTGACCGTGAAACTCACACTGTCTCAGCGTGTTTCTTGGTAAACTGATTCCCCACTGTTAATAAAAAGTTGGGTTCATTCTTCAAGTGTACACTTGGTATGTATATCTTAATTTCCGGAGTTTCAACACAACGATGCTATCCCCGTTTTTATGTAGCACAAGCAAGTGACTGAAGATCATGACAAACAGCTGCAGAACGTTCGGCAGCAGTATGATCGCACAATCATGGTTCTTAGACAAAAGCTCGCAGCGAAATCTCAAACAGTTGCCTCTTTGGAGCTGCAAGTCGCTGCCCAACGTGAGGAGCTGGTCGCAGCACAGAACAAGGTTAAAACCGCTTGTGACAACCAATTGATGAGTCAAAGGCGTCTCGAAGAAAGTGAACGAAGGCTTCGCAGTCTTGAGTTGGATATTATCGAAAGGGACGATGAAATCCAGCGTTTATTGGCGCGAGTGTCTGAGGGAAATTCAAACTTTATCGAGGAAGAACAACGAGACCCTCAAAACCACAAGGTAGCTTACAATTTAGAGTTATTTCCTCGATATGTTGCTTGAGTTAACGGACCTGTTCGAGGCTATTCCAATCGCTTCTACCCGGCTCACATTAGTTTAGCCAGTGGTCCACTTTCCGCGGTTAGCCCACTTGTGCATCGTCTGTTCTAAGGTGACCTCAGCCTTTGACTTACGAATATCCGTGATTTTCGTCACGTTTTGCTAAACTGCAGGGCAAGGAATTCGATGTCTTGCAAAGGCTGATTCCAAAGTCTTAACGTCCTGAAAACAACTTACTGAGTTGTTAAAATTAGGTGGGTGAAAGCATGAATCTTATTAAACTCTTGAAGGCGTTTGAATCCTACTGGATAAATACATTCTACTAGTCTCATCATATTGTACATCTCGGGGTGACTTGGTTCCAGAGCGAACTGACACAATTGTAGATGCCATGACTGTGCTACTCTTTACAGTGTTACCCTGCTGGTCCGTGTAGATAGCTGTCAGCACTTGCTTTTTCCGTAAAAGTCATGCTTTTACATTTCGTTTTCTGCTTTCCGATGGCTTTTCATGGCATTGGCCTATTGCAGTTTTTCTTCCGAATGTTTGAACAGACTGCTGTTTCAGACAATATGGAGCCTACTCAAACACATGTCAAACCTTCCATACAGCATTCGGCAAAGGCAGGTCTTGCTACGAAGGTGGTAGATGATAGGCTGCGGGAATTAGAGCAAGCTGTGATCGCGGCTGAGAATGAACGAAACAATGCAAATGCTCGAATGAGGGACTTGGAATTACAGGTAAGTTTGTTTGCGAAATGCATACTAAGCAACCTGTATCAAACAAACTCTGTGGTTTTCCAGTTACCCCATTTTCCATGTATTCTGTATTCTGCGTGTCAACGCGGCGCTGTCCTCCTGTTTATTGTATAAATTTATTTTTTCTCTTACGACGCACTTCTCTTTTCCATGACAGTTACTTCAGCATAAACACATCCAATCTGAGCTTGAGACAGAACAAATGCAAGATCAAAGGAAACTACTTGAAGAACTGAGGGTGCAACTGCAAAATACCCAGGGTCAACGAGATCATGTAGAAGAGTGTTTGCGCGAGACCAAAGACCTGCTCAACGAACAGACTACAGCTAAACGCACACTAGAGGAGAGGTTACAAAACATGCATCAGCAATATGAGCAGGTCAGTGCAACAACTTCAGAACGATTTTTTGTCTCATGAAAGCATTTTGGTATTCCAGTGAGTCAAGGGTTCCGTTTTAGTTAGGCGTACAGCAAGTCTTCATTTCGTCAAGTCAGTTACTAAGCCTAATGCGCAATGTCCTCATTAAGTCCAACGATAATGGGCTTCCTCGCTGTACCGAAATATCAAGGTAATCGAGCCTATTCACTTTTATGTAAACCTAAAATACACTCATTTGCAAACTAATTTGGTTTTTCGAGAGACTCACCTAAAACCCAGCTGAATCTCTCGTTTGTGATGTTTCCAGGCAACTGAATGTGCTGCACCAGGCCGCCTCTTGTTTCAGCCGCTACGATATTCGAGGTATCGCGATACACGTATATCTTTGTAATGTACTACTCACAAGGTTGCTGAGGACTGCGCCTACCTAATGAGCCCCAAAAAGTGCGAAACCGGTCGTGGGCTGTCGACGGATTTTCAGCAACCTTATGAGCAGTACATTACTTAAATACTATTGTTCAAACTTTCACCAGAACGGTCGTTTGTAGGGGAAAAATTGCGTGCATATGAACTCAAATTATTCCAATAACTGCTAAAGTACATTCACTGTCTTAGAACGACATGTGCATCATCGTCCGTTTAGAGAACTCACTTGTAATAGGTTCCACTTTTGAGAACTCTGGTGGGCATTAATCTCCGGTAGTTCATGTGATACCGAGTTACTGGTTTCTCGAGAGCTAACGCGTTCTGGGATTGATTTAGCTTCCTGTTAACATGAGGTTAGAAATACGAGCAAACCAAAACCATATCTTGTACGAGTTATTCAAGAAAAAAGTCGAACATTTTGTTGTGTAAACTGACGTGATTTTGAATTGTTTTAATAATGTTCGGGATTTTGTGTCTTACTCTCAACTACGAAAGCTGACACGAGCAGAAATATCGCAAGGCTATATAGGATCCACGTCGTCACGTCACAACGATGAACCCTCTTTTGACTCATTTTTCTGCTTGCCGTTCCAACAGACCCGCTTCACATTCAACTCGCTTTTGGAGAGACAACTTGTAAATAGATATTCCGCATAACCTCGTGACCTCACCAATGGGGGTTAGAATGGGTTAAAATTTCGTCAGCAGGAGATAGGTGCCATAGGAAATGAAACGATTGATGGAAGCAGGGTGAAACCAGAGTGTACGACCCCACGGGCTAGCATCGTTGTGTAGTTAGTTTATTCAACAGCGCTTTTGCACTTTCTTCGTCTGTGTGTACTCGAGATCGAGAAGATTCTCACATGCATGTGTTGCTGTTCGACCAGGATTATTTTCAATGACGATTTCCGCTTTCCTTGTCCAAAACCTCTGTAAGCTGATTCTTGGCTCATTTAGTGCCCGCAGGACATTTCTTCTCCTTTTTATGTGCCGTCTAATTGGTTGTTGAGTCGTAGTCGTTTACACAACCGTACGCTGGGTTTGCTAGTATATCCCACGAGTTGGAAGTCTATCTGAGATTTGGAATACAAGTTAACCAGTTCACTGGGTCATCTTCACTTCCAAATTCATGTGCGAACGGCTGTTTTGTCTTTTTGGGTTATCCCGTTATGTCGTCTGTCTTATTTGGTGTGACAGTGTGTGGTTACTGACTACTCCAGTACACACAGGCTTGAAGAGATATCCGTATTTCAAATTTGTTCATTCACAGGGCTGAACGTACCTGTCAAGCCGGTACTCCTCGGCTAAAACTGGGTCCTCTATAGTTTGCTTCCACGTAGTTGATCTATACGTAAGAATTTTACTTGCATTACTTGTGATATAACTTAGTTATTAATCCGAAGCGACAGCAAATCCAGATTAAGCCAAATCAGATTGAACGCAAAACTGTCTAAGCCTTCTGCATAGCTTTATTTTCCTTCTGCATACTTTTTTTTTCCCCCCCCCCCCCCCCCCAATCATTTTTCGCGGCAATTACTTTCCCGCGCACTCCAGCTAAATTTGTGAACGCTAGCCAAAAAGAATTATTATCTGAAGTCGCTTAAACCGGATGGACAAGGTTCCAAACCCGACCTTAATTCATGTACTTTTCCCATACATACTAAGCAGCAATAACTTTTAACCTAGTTGCAACATCGAGTTAACCTGCGTTCCACTGATTGGTTGTCCACCTGCTCTGAACTTTGGCCAGCCTTAACCTGATGAGGGTTTTGTCTCCAAAATGAAATGTTGTTCGGTGGTAGAGATACCGGTTGGTTACCGAACGTTTTTGAGAGAGTTTCAGGCGTTTTTGACCCTCCCCCCCCCCAAAAAAAAAACAATCGGTCTAAATTTACTTTTTCCTTGATCTAGGCTCAAATCGAGTTGAAATCTGAGCTTTCCGCTTCTCAACGTGAGCGGTTCGAGTTAAAACAACGGTTGGCTGAAACCTGTTTCAAATTGCAGCGCGCAGAAGCTCTGGCACAAGACACTGAGTACCGCCTATCGCAGGTTGAGCTTGAACAAAAAAGAGCATTGAGGGATTCTGAGCAACTTGCTGTCGATTCTGCTGCCCGAAAGGCCATTTCAGAATTTACCACCTCCCCATTCCTACAATCTCCACCCAACAATGACGGTTTTGAAGTACCGGGAAATTTAGAGAACTCATCCCATTTGACCCGGACGAATTTTGTGGACAATCCAACTTGCAAGCAAACAGGGAACGATGTTCAAACTTTTCGACCTATCGACCCCATTAATTGCGAAAAACAGACGCGAAAAGTTACTTTTGCTCCTTCCCCCTTCGTGGATTCTGATAAAGTCACTCGGTCAACCTCAATTGCAGGCAAGTTATACTGCCGTGTCTGTGATATCTGTTGTCGTACACGGTTTCGGAGTGCATTTTGCCCCTGTTCTAAACTCTCGCATACATGAAGCAGGCACTGTACCCATTTGGAGCTCGAACAGGCATCAGTGAAATAAATGAACTGGCCTTCACGGCAAGCCCATCGAGGAACTATCTCGCAGTTTACTTTCATCCCTCATGAATGCCATGAATGATAAGTTTGAAATTTTTAAGCGAAAGTCATTCGTTTTCCACCTCGGTGCGTCTCAACTTTAAACGCATCCGAACAGGTTGCCTTCTGTATTTCTCCATTTTACCAGGTTGTTTCAACCCAAAAGATTATAACACTGATGAACGCCGCTTTGGAAACTAATCAAAATATCAGATGACAAGAGGCTTCACCTTATACTCGAGGTTTAGGCCTGAGATGGCCCAGTAGTTAAGACCCAAAGCTACTGAATGGAAGATCCGCGGGTCAGACCTAAAACAGCAAAGGACCTTCGTGACCCAGGAAATCGATAAAAAAGGCTTTAGTCCGTACCTGAACACTCATTTCATTAAGTCCCTGTGTTTTTATTATTGTACGAACGATCATCCTGTATGCCATTCCGAACCCTGATTTGGATCTTCGCATTCGCCCGGTTGTGATTGGTTGGGTCCCTGATTGCTTCTTATCCAACCCAAATAAGGTCGAATACTTTAATTATTTATCGTAGAATTGAACAACCAGTCGGGATACATTTATCGGAAAGCTCATTAGCCAAAAAAGTGTTCCAAAGAAACTGTCTGTCTTGTAAACACAATCCTGCACGTTCAACAGAGATTTTGATCAGTTCCTTGAATTTTATTCTTGGGCACGATTCATTTCGTTTGTTTGCCTCAAGTCGACTAGTCGTTGCGTATATGAGGGGATGTAAGCAGTCAGCAGTCCTTTGTCTGAGAATGGACATTTCTCCTCTGCATCTTGGATTTGGTTTCATGGTATCTGAGTGCGAGACATTTCCTTTAATCCGTGCCACACCATCCATTGAGGCTTATGACTCCTTACCGTTACCCCGCTTTGAATGCTTATGTATGACGATGAACTGATCGTTCAGGCAATGCTATAAGAAAGTACGATTCCGCTTCTTGTGCCTTTCGCTCATATAGATCAACTCTTTCTGGAAGTACGAGAGGTCTTGGATTTCAAGGAATATCAAGATCTTCATAGTCGTTTTGGTGTGGAAAACAGTAAAACTTCCTCACTAAGAGACCCCCGCATTTAAGGACATTCTGGATTTCCTATAGACTCATTGCTAAAATCCCCTTATGGACCGGCCGGGCAAGTGTCTTGAGTCCCAAAACCCCTCCTTAAGAACATCACACGGCTTGGTAAAAGATTTGTGTACTTAGTGTACCTTTTTTCTTTCCGACCCGTAAAGTGTCAGACAATTGTTCAGGTTGACAAAATGGCAGTGTAGTGTTTTTGAGGCGGCAATCATATTTCGGACAAGTCCACTTTGTATGATGCCGGTGTTTTCTTGTAGTCATGTCAGGCGATGTTATAGTGACCGACCATCGGCTTAACCGAAGCACTCTAGTTGCATTTGTGTGTCCGTTTAAAGACCGGGACTCGCGCCCGTGTTCTTGTCTCCGTGGTTTCTCTTAGTTCGATGTTTGCTGCTCAAGGTTTAAGCTTCAGACGCTCCTTTTCCTTCAGCTATCCGCAACTCAACAAAGCCAGTGGATGAGCAGTGGACGACTAAATTCAATGGGGGCACTACCACTATCAACTCGGTCCGTATGTCGATAAATGACATCGGACAAGGCCCTCTCTTTCTGGAATTAACCCAAGTGGCACTCCAATGCGAAAAAACACAAGGCAACTGCAGGTCATTAAGTGCTGATGCTCGCTAAAGAAACCCGGAGCTCGGCAAATGTTTGTGAAAACTTAAATAGAAAGAGCTATAGATGAAGCCTCCATGTCTGTGCCAGAAACACTGGAAGTTCTGACACGTTTCTTCAGGAACACAGTACCGTCAACAACTAACTTGTGGGATTCTAATTGCGTGTTAACATCTACCGGGAAGCGAGTGGGGAAAAAACGTCTGTTACTCAGTCAGCTATGTTTACCAACTGGTGTGCGTAGAAAACCAGGGAAACTGGTCAAATTATCCGGACAACACGGATTCTGAGTAGTGTGTTGAGAAGCCGAAGGTGTTTGTGGGGAAGCACCTCCAGCATATATTGAGCTCTCAAAAGAGAAACGACGGCATGATCGACTTTTCAGCAAACTCAGTGCAAGTAGTGCAGTTTGGATATCAACTGTTCTAAAGTCTGGTCAGAAATTAAATTAATAGAACAATTAATCTCTTCCGCATCTCTTTGTGCCTTGAGATAAATCAGTCGACTCATCCTGTATTATGGCATACCCCCCAGAACCTGAGGAAGAATAAAACCACACTTGGTGATATTTTCTTTCCCTCAATGAGCGTCCCTTATTTAACCGGAGTAAAATGTGCAGAATTCGAGGACCTTCATTTCATCACCATACCACCCCAATACTTACGACTTCATGTAGCTGATACGTCATTCAAGGGGAGTGTTCGAATACCCTTGGCCTTCCTGTGCTCATTCATTTCTTGAGGAATCCGTCTCTCACTTGACCGCACTTTTTGATGGATTTGGGATGCTCTTCAGTCAACCCGCCACGCATTTTAGATCGCCCTCTCACCTTCGTTCAATACGGCCCATTGATATTTAATTGCTGTCTACTTACCAACTAGAGTGTTCTGTTCTCAAAGTAGCAAGTGCAATAGCAGTGGATTGTCCGCACTCACGTCGCCATCCTACATCAAACTCTAGGTTTAAGCGAAGTGTACTACCGTCCTTTGAAAAATTCATTTGGGAAAAGCACAAAGGGACTGCTGAGGCCATTCCCCTCATCCCTAGAATTACCAGGACGGAATTCATTCAATATCGTTTGCTCGAACGTTGCTAGAGGAGTGGGTTTCATGTTCTGATTGGCCTAAAACCAGAATATGCAAGGCAGACTACCAACTCAGCATCAAGGAAGAATACTAGTGTTCGTAAAGTGCGTCTTGTTGTGAGATGAGAAAAGAACAACTGTGGTCAACTGGACGTTCTAAGATTATACTTTACTGGAAAGGATATACAACCGCCATTTACTGATCTGTTTTAGAACTTTCCGACAATATGCACAAAGTTTTTGTTGTTGGGGTTTGAGACATACTGTCAACAAAAGAGACCGCGTGGTAGTTTAACTTTCACCAAATTGTGAAAAGTGGTCTCCTATCTTTTGTTCCTTTTCGTAGCTTTGTGGATCAGTTCAAACTTTCACTTTTTGCCCACTTTTGTTTTTGTATTTCAGCTTCCCAACTTGAAGCACTTATTCGCGAAGTCACGGACAGTCTGGACAGAGAAATTGGACCAACGTGACTTCGTTGTGTTGACAGTATAAATATCCCATGTCTCCTGTTCAAACACCTGCTTTCCCAACCGGTGTACTGCTTCTGTGTACAGATACGCACAGTGTGGTCTTTCCTGTGATCTTTACTTAGTAACTCCAACTTTGTTTTTATATTTCAACCTCTAGCTTGATCTGCTAAAACCCGAGTTCTTACTTTCCATGGGACTAGACTATACCATCGTTTTCGCCATCCGAATGATAGGCTTATTCGTGCCGGTGCCCTCTGGCCTGGGTGCATATCTTTTTGTCGTGCCTAGACTTATTGAACTATTCATGAGGTTGCTGAAAACTATTCGACTTTATGAGTCGGGTATCGCGTACGCACTGCAATATCTCGAATATCATATCAACTGGTGTAGCACATTCAGTTGAGAATACCATCTTAAACCAAAGTTTTGTGCAGATGAATGTATTAGTTTAACCCCTAAATCTTGTTCATCCAACAGTTTCGCGCAAAGTAATGCTTGGAAACGGAAAATTTTTCTTGCCCGTTCGAATAGTCCATTCTGTTAGTTCAGCATTTTGAACATTATAAAATTACCCTCTCTTTAAACACAATTAGTCAGTCCTATGGGGCAAGATGGCTCAATGGTTAAAGGGCGAATTTTCTGACCGGAAGGTCCGTGGTCCGAACCCGGCCTCTGTCTCTCGGCTTCCCCTGTCTAGGCTTAGGCAACCTGGCAGTAACCGAGCCCTCGTACTTCCTTCTGGTTGCGTGGTACTTAGGCGCCGAATGGGTTCTACAGCCGAACGATTTATCAGTCCGGTATATACAGGAGACAGTTTTTTGATCGGCCCAACTTGTGTATTTATGTTGGCAGTATCAAATCAAGCATACAAACTGTTTTGGTCCGTAGGATAACTCTACAGTAATCAGTTCACCCGGAACAGTTCTAACTGACACACTGCGATATGTTATGCCGAAGGGTATTTGTGATTTGCTAAGAGGACCTTAGTAGATCTTATTTGTTGATCAACCAATGAGAGGATTCGCAACTATTGCTTCCAGTCACATGTGGACCAACCTGACCAGCATGACTACGCTATACCTGAGTAATGTATTGGTAATGGAAGGGTTCATTACCACCCGCACTTACCGACTAGTTTGCAAAGACAATCCATGGAGTGAATAGGATTCCCTGCAATACAAACTGGTCGTTTCTCGCATCTGTGTATCATTTCTGTCTTATTCCGCAATCTCTTACTGCTGGTTCTGTGTCAATGGACTCTTGTAGTACTCTAGTAAACAAGTAATTTTTTTCGGTCATCCTTAGCAGAGTCCTTTTGAATGCGGGATGGTATGATGGATGTTGGGAATCACTAGCCGGTGAATAGTTCCCTATCATCGAAACACGTGGTAAGGAAACCCCTAAGTTTTTGCCATTTTGAACGATATTTTCTGGTGATCCATCATCCATGTTAGCGTGGACATATTGATCAGCTTTGCTCTTCTGATACACCCTGTTTTTTTAAAAAGTACACTACCATACCAATTTGTTTTTTGGGGATGTCTGTCTCTCTCTGTCGGAGAGCTTTTAGCAACCTTATCAGTAATGTGTTGCACGTGTACACCTTACTTTTGTTCAAATGCTCCACTTCACAATTGATCTTGCTGATTTGTCAGAACCCAGCGTGATTAGTTGAAACGCCCTGTTGGATCTAACTAGGCGCATTCTGTTTTGCTCATTAACAGGGCTACATTTTTGACGTCGCTTAATTGTTCGTCACATGCTCATGCCAACTCTCGCTAAACCTGGCAATGCCTAACAACAGTTTGGCATTATTGTTAAACGATTCTCAAGACTCACTCATTCACTGGCTCTAGTCTATGTGAATAACGCCAGTACAACCTCTTGAAAGAATCCCATGTTCTTGGCAACAACAGAGCTTTCTAGAAATTAAGGTGATATCTTATGGACACTGTTCATACACCCAGTCATATGATCTGCCTGGAGGAAACCACGTCCCAGAGCGAACCTGTAGCAGCCGGATAGGGAAAAGTCTTCGTAGCCAATGGAGCAGACGGGAAGTAGCGCTCGACTCAGAACTAGCCAAACCGTATCCTAAGGGTTAGCGGTGCTTATGGTTCATCATAAGACCAAGCGTGTTCTTGTCGTCACTGGATAAACAATCAGATCTATATCCTATTGCAAAAAATTTTGATAGAGTCTCTGCCACCCTTATCTGGTTCCCCTGGTCGATTTGCACCGATCAGCTAACCGTTCTTCCAGACGGTCCGTCCTCACTATGGTCTGTTGAATCTCTGCGCAGTTTTCTGGATGCTTCTACCTTATTTTGGGTCCCGTTGCACTCGCGGTTACCTAGACAATAACAAAACGTTCTTTCACAGTAGAGACAAGCATTCTCCACACATTTTTGTTGCCTACAAAAGGGAGTTTACCTATTGTGTTTTTATATTTCAACCTCTAGCTTGATCTGCTAAAACCCGAGTTCTTACTTTCCATGGGACTAGACTATACCATCGTTTTCGCCATCCGAATGATAGGCTTATTCGTGCCGGTGCCCTCTGGCCTGGGTGCATATCTTTTTGTCGTGCCTAGACTTATTGAACTATTCATGAGGTTGCTGAAAACTATTCGACTTTATGAGTCGGGTATCGCGTACGCACTGCAATATCTCGAATATCATATCAACTGGTGTAGCACATTCAGTTGAGAATACCATCTTAAACCAAAGTTTTGTGCAGATGAATGTATTAGTTTAACCCCTAAATCTTGTTCATCCAACAGTTTCGCGCAAAGTAATGCTTGGAAACGGAAAATTTTTCTTGCCCGTTCGAATAGTCCATTCTGTTAGTTCAGCATTTTGAACATTATAAAATTACCCTCTCTTTAAACACAATTAGTCAGTCCTATGGGGCAAGATGGCTCAATGGTTAAAGGGCGAATTTTCTGACCGGAAGGTCCGTGGTCCGAACCCGGCCTCTGTCTCTCGGCTTCCCCTGTCTAGGCTTAGGCAACCTGGCAGTAACCGAGCCCTCGTACTTCCTTCTGGTTGCGTGGTACTTAGGCGCCGAATGGGTTCTACAGCCGAACGATTTATCAGTCCGGTATATACAGGAGACAGTTTTTTGATCGGCCCAACTTGTGTATTTATGTTGGCAGTATCAAATCAAGCATACAAACTGTTTTGGTCCGTAGGATAACTCTACAGTAATCAGTTCACCCGGAACAGTTCTAACTGACACACTGCGATATGTTATGCCGAAGGGTATTTGTGATTTGCTAAGAGGACCTTAGTAGATCTTATTTGTTGATCAACCAATGAGAGGATTCGCAACTATTGCTTCCAGTCACATGTGGACCAACCTGACCAGCATGACTACGCTATACCTGAGTAATGTATTGGTAATGGAAGGGTTCATTACCACCCGCACTTACCGACTAGTTTGCAAAGACAATCCATGGAGTGAATAGGATTCCCTGCAATACAAACTGGTCGTTTCTCGCATCTGTGTATCATTTCTGTCTTATTCCGCAATCTCTTACTGCTGGTTCTGTGTCAATGGACTCTTGTAGTACTCTAGTAAACAAGTAATTTTTTTCGGTCATCCTTAGCAGAGTCCTTTTGAATGCGGGATGGTATGATGGATGTTGGGAATCACTAGCCGGTGAATAGTTCCCTATCATCGAAACACGTGGTAAGGAAACCCCTAAGTTTTTGCCATTTTGAACGATATTTTCTGGTGATCCATCATCCATGTTAGCGTGGACATATTGATCAGCTTTGCTCTTCTGATACACCCTGTTTTTTTAAAAAGTACACTACCATACCAATTTGTTTTTTGGGGATGTCTGTCTCTCTCTGTCGGAGAGCTTTTAGCAACCTTATCAGTAATGTGTTGCACGTGTACACCTTACTTTTGTTCAAATGCTCCACTTCACAATTGATCTTGCTGATTTGTCAGAACCCAGCGTGATTAGTTGAAACGCCCTGTTGGATCTAACTAGGCGCATTCTGTTTTGCTCATTAACAGGGCTACATTTTTGACGTCGCTTAATTGTTCGTCACATGCTCATGCCAACTCTCGCTAAACCTGGCAATGCCTAACAACAGTTTGGCATTATTGTTAAACGATTCTCAAGACTCACTCATTCACTGGCTCTAGTCTATGTGAATAACGCCAGTGCAACCTCTTGAAAGAATCCCATGTTCTTGGCAACAACAGAGCTTTCTAGAAATTAAGGTGATATCTTATGGACACTGTTCATACACCCAGTCATATGATCTGCCTGGAGGAAACCACGTCCCAGAGCGAACCTGTAGCAGCCGGATAGGGAAAAGTCTTCGTAGCCAATGGAGCAGACGGGAAGTAGCGCTCGACTCAGAACTAGCCAAACCGTATCCTAAGGGTTAGCGGTGCTTATGGTTCATCATAAGACCAAGCGTGTTCTTGTCGTCACTGGATAAACAATCAGATCTATATCCTATTGCAAAAAATTTTGATAGAGTCTCTGCCACCCTTATCTGGTTCCCCTGGTCGATTTGCACCGATCAGCTAACCGTTCTTCCAGACGGTCCGTCCTCACTATGGTCTGTTGAATCTCTGCGCAGTTTTCTGGATGCTTCTACCTTATTTTGGGTCCCGTTGCACTCGCGGTTACCTAGACAATAACAAAACGTTCTTTCACAGTAGAGACAAGCATTCTCCACACATTTTTGTTGCCTACAAAAGGGAGTTTACCTATTGATGTTAACATTTTAGCCGCACTATAGTCATCCCACGAGATTGTTCTTTGGAAGAATCCCACATAATAGAATATATATAGAATATATATAGAATATATATATAGAATATATACATGTACTTCAAAATGTCTTTGTGAAACGTTAGGTTAGTTTCACCCTAGATGGGGACATTCCCGAGAGTTTATCTACTCAGAAGGAGCGACTTTTCGAAATCGATGCCTCGCCAGTCATTCAAAAGAACTTTGAGTTACTTATCTAATGATAAATGATGATGATATTCTCATTGCCTGTGGATACATTTCTTAAGGACTTCAGAAAACGTGAATCTGACGTACACTGGCTCTCTTGCTTGTTCAACAGTCGTCACACCTGCAAGTGGATTTTTAACCCACATTCTGGAAG